GCCCCTTTCTAAGGATGCTTACGCCACGCGACCACCGTTTCTTCCCATTTCGAGATTCCTCGAAATCTCGCTGCAACGAGACTGCTTTCTTCTTTCTCCTTCGTTCCCTCATTACTTCACTCACTGCACCCACACCAGTTTAGACCAACTTCAACGCGAAATTCTTCTTTCCTTCGGGGAGAAATTTTCGTTCATTTCTTGCTTCGTGCAAGTTCGGAAACACTGTTCTAACGTCTGTTCCACCGTGTTTGTTCGTCGAAAATCGCCAGCCTTTTCGAATCGAGAAGCGAGCGAGTCCTCTTCGGGAATTCTGCCGTTTCTTCCCAATCACACGGTCACGAACGATCGGCGGAAATCGGCCGAATAATCAGCCGCGCCGAGAATAACAATCAGCGGCCGACCGACCAGCGTGCCATCCTAATAAACACGAATGCCGAATGATGTATTGTATAGTGGCGACGATATATTCTATTACACATACACGTACGTACGTACGTACGTATGTATAATATAGAGCGGCGATTTATCGTCGTTCCGTACGGGAGTAGCGAAATTGGGACACGCGCCCGGCATTGTTATCATTTGCTCCGAAGCTTGCGCACACGCTTGCGGTCGTGCAAGATCATTTCACCTCGATCGTTACCTTCCTTCAATCCCCGATCTTCCTTTTTGCGCCGAAAACATCGTTCAAAGTTGCGTTCAAACACATTGGACGAAATGTTTCTTAGCTGAAATCAAACTCCATAGTCGTACTCGTACGAGATTCGAGTTTGACAAATTTCGACGAATTTCTTTCCCTCTGCCCCGTTCCGCCGTCCAAAGACACACACGTGCAAAAGTTACATTTATCAGGGGACGTCGATTCGAAACCGTTTATTTCGAAAGTGGTGCAAGTCCATTTTGGTAAAAAAAAAGAAAAAATGAGATGTCGCATAATTTCTGATTAATTTGGTGTAAACTTTTCATTTACAGCTAGTTAATTATTTAATATCTTGAAAGAATGCCAATACTTTGTTCAATGTAAAATTGGCCAATAAAAGAAATTGCCAATTTCCATAGACGGAATATAAAGATAAATACACGGTGCATCATGAATATTTCAAAACACTGCCACATAAAGAGCACTGTAAATAAATAATATCAATATCTTGTGTTAAGTTTAACAATATATAAATATAATTAACGTTCAAGATAAAAAGTACTACTCCCATTTTACTTCTTGTTATTATTTGTAAAGAAAATTGGATTCATACGAAAATATATTTCAAGTGATGTTTAATTTTTCATAATTGAAGTTGAATGATTTTTACAATTGAATTAATTATGAAATTGGTGTAATTTTCTCGAAACAACAAAAAATGGACTTGCACCACTGTTTGAAACTAAACTAACGGTCCAATTGAACCAGTTCCAAATACTTGGAACAATTACTCGCGCATTCTTTCGTCGAAATAATCTCACAATCGGTTGATTCACTGCCATCGAAAACGAAATTTCGTGAAACGTGAAAACTTTAATTTCCAATCGCTTACCGCAACTTTCCGGTTCGCAAAAGTTCCAAAAGTCCAACGAAAAATGCCCAACTCCAACTGTTTCCAATACTTTTCCTCGCTCGAATCTTTCAAAAAAATCGCTTCTGTCCTCCGATCCGAAAGCCATCTCTACCTATCTAACTTTTGAATTATTTCAATCTCTACGGATCATCGTAGGGGATTAAAGTAATCTGGAAGGTAGGGTTGCTCGAGGATTGCGCTGTTGGTAACACAGCGTGCGAATCTCTACCGTTGGTAAGAACAAATCGAACGAAAAGAATTTCAAACCGAGAATTCACGTTTGAACAGCAAACGCGGTTACCTAACCTAAACCTAAACCTAAACCTAAACCTAACCTAAATCTAACCTAAACCTAACCTAACGTGTGTGTAACCCGACGAGTTTCTGATTATTTGATAGTACCGACCTATCGTCATATTTCGTTAATAAACGTGATCAAACATTGTATACAGTCACTTGATGGTTCCAAGGGCAATCGTCGATTTTCGAACACTATCGTTCGTCGCGCTGAATAGTAATTAACTTGATAAAATTAACATGAAAATTAACAAGAACAGCGTGTTCCCGTGGCCAATTCACTCTCCTCGGTTCGCCCGGAATATGATACACACATATTGCGGATAACGACACGTGCATGGTAATTGGCCCGCTTCGCGAAACTTGCATCGCGTCGGTCGCGCACTTTGCTTTTAACCCGAGTTCCAGTGTTCGCGGCCATTACCGCGAGCAACGCGTAATGGAAGCAGCAAACACGATTAAAATAATTAGCGATGCAGGAAACTCGATGGAGTTTGCCGGTCGGTCGAACCGTCGACTAAACACGGGGCCCTCGATTAAACGGCTGCCGCCAATTTCTCCCCCATATCGCGGCAATCAAAGCTGTCCTCTGTCGTCCTGTCTCTACGTGTCTCTTTGTCTCTCTATCATTTCCTCCTCTTCCTCCGACCAATCTTTCCAGCTTGCTCTCTCAAGTTCTTCTCAAATCTCTCTCTCTCTCTCTCTCTCTCTTTCGCCAGCCTCTTTCGGCGGAAAGGAGTTAAAGAACGAGTTGGAGATATCCCGAAGTAAGCGATAATTTTCCCGCAATTTCCTACCGGGGGCGAAACGATTGAAAGATCCCCTACGGTCGCGTGCCAAGTTGCAACTCGGCCAACCTGACCAGAAGTAACTGAATTTCGAGCAACCGCAAGACGCCCTATCGCCAGCAGCATCCGCGAAATTGTTCCCCTCGTCGTTTGCAGCTGAATCGATCGACTAATGCTAACCACCAAATACGATTAATTTCCAATCAGAGCGAAATTACACGTTGTTTGTTGTACGTGTGTGTAAATTTGCTCGACTGAGGAGAGAGAAGCCGAACTGAGCCTCGAAGCAGGCGAGTAAAGAATCGCAGAAGAAAAGCTAGAAAAGAGGAGATGATCGAAGACCGAGAATCGGGAAGGCGACGCGACGTTGAAAGTCGACCGCATTCTTCCATGTTGCTGCAACTTTTAGTTTGCTGCTACTTTGTCACGTGTCGCTCTCGGTACTTTGTCCTGTTTCGCGTTCATTCGAGTAGCCGAATCAGCATTGGCCTTTGCCTCTGACCTTCCCTTCTCTCGCCAACCACTTTCTTCGCCACCCATCTGAAATTTGGCCAAAATCCAACAACATTTCAACACGTCGTTTCAACGTTTCGTGTTTTATTAACAGACACTCGTGTTTCGCCATGTGAATAATCGTAAATGCGTGAGTCGTAAACGCGATGCTTTTAAATCTTCTCACAGTCAGTCTCACTGGCGCCAACAAAAAAAGTTTGTCGAGACCGATAGTTTACATATTTTTTTCCATCGATTCAACGTTACCTGTATTGTTATTTATTACGAGGATAATATTAAAACAACGATTGGCAGAAATTAACATACTTGCGTTAATTAAAGACAAACGCGATAAAATTTTCCTTCTTATTTCATTTTTTGCGTGCTTCGTGATACTTTGAGTACTCGCCGAAATGGGCGACGTCAAGGAACAGTCGACCAATGAAATTCTTACTCATTTGTTCCATTTGTTTCGTGCCTGTACCACTAGATCGACGAAAGGAAATATCGATGCGCCGCGATTCATTGGAGACACTTTCATTGAACGAGTATCATCGACGAGTATCACGACGATGCCAATTACCGATTTCTAGATATCGTCGTGTCAAACGTCGGACGCGCAGGCACAGCTTCGCGAAGCAACAAAGAGACAAATCAGCAGACTTACAATATCGACTGGCCTAGTTTTTAAATTGTTCGGACAACCGGCGCGACGTGGCAATCCGGTTCCAACTACCTCGACACAATCTTGTCTTTCGCGTAATCCGTCCGAATCTTTCTTAATTGCTCCTCGCCCCACTCTCTCTATCTTGTCTTTGACGCACCGATATATCGAAGAATCTTTGTTGGAATTATTACACGTTCCGCGTACGTGTACGTTGACTAAACACACACGAGTCAACGATGCAGTCTGAAAAGAGTGTCTTGGCCCGGCAAGAGAATTCCTCATCTTCCTTCGTTTGCTCGACTCGGCACGATCGAGAGAGAGAGAGAGAGAGAGAGAGAGA